AGTATCGTACGCAGGATTTTAGTTCGGTAAGGGTTTTACATGAGTAAATAATTCAAATAATTTGCTTAACAGTATTTGTTTAATTGTTTATAAAAAATTATGATTAATAATAAATCAAAAATTTAATTTATGTCTGTTAAAAATTACAAATCGACTCTGCGTGTATTGAAATGGTGGTATATAAAATTTTTGTGTAAAACATTTCAGGGAGGGTCAGGACCTTGGAACCTTATAGGTTATACCAGTAGCGGCTCATAGAGTAAATACTCTGGGGAGCTTAGGTTATATAACATAAATTCCATATAACAAAGGACAAGAAAAACCTTTTTATCGAAAAAATAATGTGAATAAAACGTCTATAATTATACGCGAACTACGCGGCACGGCAATTATTATTTATTACTGTCGTTAACTCAGGTTCAATAGCGTCTATGATACGCAGCTTATTCTCCCCGGCTCCCTCCGACCTAACAGCCATGCCATTACATGTTACGATTGCAACTGACGAGCTTTAGTTTCACTGAACCGGCGACCGTCGTAATGAGCCGTAATGACCCGCAGAATGACTAAAATAGTAATTCTATTAAGATAACTATTAATAGGTTTTCGATTTTGTGACTTTCGCGTTATAATAATAAACAATGAAAACGATATATTTTAAATTCAAACGAAAATAATATTTATCTAGGTATACATTATTAATTTTAATTAATCATATTATTTGCGAGTAACTAGTTCATTTTTAAGGGGAGACGCAGTCTCAAAGTCTCCCCTGACGAGCCACCCCTGAACCCTTACCCCTGCGTACGCCGCTGGTTGGTATGAAATATTTTTTATCTAGTGTCCACAGGTGTACGAGTATAAAACATGAATGAAAAGTTATGTTACAACTAAACATTTTTGGATTTTTAGATATTTCTTGTTGTTACGTGTTATCATTTGCTGGCATTTGCTGGAACATTTGATAACATTTTTCGAACAAAATGTTTCATTTTTATCATTTGTCTGACTTGAAATAGATATTTAGTTAAATTTCTAGTCATTCAATAAAATTACTAGGCATTTAACTATAAATATCTAGGCGGATGGTGAAATTTCGTAAATATTAAATTCTCCRACTAATCTATAATAATAACAATYTATAATATGTAGGTATAACAAAGGATCGATTTGACTTTTGAAAGAGTCGGTTCGACTTTTCCTTTTACGACTCTGTTAAGCATGCTTAGCGATAAATATTGTCGCCGCTATATAATATTGTACAGCCTTGGACAAAATACAATATTGCAGTGTGTGGGTAGATATTTATTTACCTTGAAAAAATGCCATCACAAACTTATTCTTGGTCCAAAATGTATATATATATATATATATATATATATATATATAATATATAGTTACTAGAAATATTATATTACGTATGTGTACGTATAAAATATGACAAATCCGCAATCGCTTTAGATAACATTGACATTAAAACTTTTATAGTAGTACAGACAGCAGAGTACATATTATAATGTTTCTTTACAGTCGAAAGCAAGAAAATAAAAAAATATTGAAAAACGACGCATGCGGGTCTCGTTGAATTTTCGCGATTTTCTGACCGCGAGAATATAACGACCGCGCGGGTGCCCACGAATCTCTATTATTTATATATACTGCAACAAGGCGACGTCGTGGGAAATCGATAATATTATATTATATAAACCCCGAGTGCATATATCTATATGGAGGAAAAATATTAAGGACGGTCTCGCGCGCCGAGAATATTATCATTATTATTAAAAACGATAATAATAATCATCGGCATAATAGTAATCGTTAAATCGCGTTTTAAATGTTTTTTTTTTTAATAACAGTTATAATAACGGCAGTGCTGCACGTCGATATCGGTTTTTTTAAGGAACATATACACTGCGCCGCGCGCGCATATACCCGGTTATGGGTTACCACCTATATAATATATATATATATATATATTGTGGGTGCGTATCGGTGCGGGTTATAATTATAATCGGAAAGGATAGGATAATAATAATATTATCGTGTACACGGAGRTATACACATACTGCATAATATATATTATTATTATTATTATGTACTACTAAGTTATAGGTTTAAGGTACATACCTATGTATAAACGACGGGCGCGACAACGGTGTGGGAGGAGGAAAGTGTTTATGTGTACAACACGATGACGACCCCTTCCGCGCGGCGCGAACCTTCGTCTACTATATAATAATAATAATATTTTATATTATGTAGTCTTCGCCCTTTTTCGTCGGAATATTATCATACACGCGCGTGTGTTTTACATATAATAATAACAGTACAACTATTATACACACATAATTTCGTTATTAGGTACATCRTCCGATGGTTTATAATTATTGAGTGCGCGCGGTGGTTAGGTATATATTATATACATATTATATAATATATATGGCCATTAAACACTGGAGCTCTCTGCAGTGGTATATATATATAATACTATGTTTATATAATGTATATATATATATATACGATAACGATATATAATGTCGGCAGAGGACTAATTATTATTAATATATATTATATGGTTTACCGCCGCCGCCGCCGTGATATGATTAGGGCGCTGGGATTTCAATGCGTTTGGATTTGTATTTTTGATATGATAACGTCGTGTTTATTTTTTTCTATTAAATATGACCTATTTCTAGGAATGTGAAAAACGAGTTTGTTGTTTTTACTAGTATCACATCGAATCTCTGCGCAGAACGATTTTATGATGTACAACATTGTCAACATTATTTGCCCAATGTTTATATAAAGTGTCGATCGGGTTTTTTTTTTTTTTTTATCAAATATCAAAATTCTATTGTGCATCGGGTTTCAGAATCGAAAATTACTTTAAGCGCATTTAAAATTTTTTTTTTTAGATAATTTAAACCTATAAACTATAAATTATAATTGTATGTAAGTATTCGTCACGCGTATACGACATTATCAGCGCTGTAGATTTAATGTTTTTCGCACGTATATCGACAGATTTCCATTTTGAATTCGAAATTATGCAATAAAAAATTACTTGTTTTACATATTTTATACATATTACTGTATTAGCGCATAATATAAATACATATAACTGTTTTTATGTTTTTATATTGCGTATTTCGGGAAATAATATGGATTTATCAGTTTTTTTATCAATATATAATAAAATATTTGAATATTAATAGTTTTTAATATATTTTTTAAAGCTTATCTATTATAATGTCCAACAATAATATTTGTATTTAATATTTTACATAAATTTTTTAGGTGTTCCTTTCAAGATGCTATATAAACATAATAATATATTATAACTTTGAATTTATTTTAGTAACTAAATTTTGCATAAATTCGCAGTTTGAAATTTTTCGTGGATATATTTTCCGCCATAATATGCAAATTGAATATCAACATTTTTGAGTGCAGAAGTGCACGGGTTTTTTTTTTAATGCATTCAATTCACAACCCTAAACATAACTATTATTTGCATTGCCATGACGAGATATTGTTGTAATCGAATAATTTATTTTTAAAAAACGATTTCCATCATTACATTTACACCATGTTCAACCAAATTTTAGAAGTATTAAAAAATGTAATCAAATAAAACAAACAAAGCATCATACCTAACACTGATTTAATATTTCTGATAACGTACGGTTATAGTGCCTCGGAGTAGGAAACCCGTGCACGATTTAAAAGGGTGCGATTATTATTATTATTATTATTTTCACCGAGGCTGGGCGTTTAACGAATTAAAAATTAAATTGAAGCCGAAACACAAAGTTAGTTTTAATTAAGTCACATAATAACGAGATGGTATATTTGTTTACTTTTTTTTCCTTTTTTTTTTACGTAGTCAACTTAAGTGTTATAAAATATAAGAGTCTACATCCAGTTATTATAGTATATAATAATTATTGTGATATAATATTATTTTGTTATTATAGGGTAAACGATAATGTACGAATAAGTTAAAAATGTTTTTTTTTTAGGATTTTTCTCCCWAATATCGTGTGCTGAACAGATAGAGCCGATTTTTAAGTCTATTATAACTGTAAGCAATAAGTTAATTTCGTTCATACCTAAGCGAATATTGTATAACAGAAAGACCGGAAAAAAATTATACTAATTAAACGTATGGCAAAAATTGTTAATATATCATATATGATAAGTAAATAATTTAAGAAATATACTATTGTCAGCAAATCCTCAAAAATTATATTATTTTTAAAAAAAGTTATTACGTTTCAAATTAATTTAACCGAAAAAATATTGAATTTTAAAAAAGTTTTAAAAAATAAACAACTTGAATTAGATAAATCATTTTACCATCAAAATTGTTCTTATAATCAGATTAAAAAATAGGCTATTTTGAATTTATCCAAAATATTTTTTATTAAATTAAAATTTCTTTAATTTCAGTACTAAAAATTAAACATAAAAAAATGTATTATTATACATGTAGCACTAAAGTCACTAATGAAAAAATAAAAAATATTAATTTGAACAAAAAGTCAGTTCTATCTGTTACACCTTTTATACACTATTGTTGACTTTGAACTCGATAATCTCAAAATATTTGTCGACTTACCCGTACTCGATTGCACTGCAGAGTTCACTGACCTAACCTAGACGTATAATATTATGTGAGGTAAAAAACATAAGCGCCAAAATGAGACAAGAAAAAATAAGTCGTATCGTACATATGCGAATCCTATTAGGTACCTGTGTGATGCCACGGTGAATATAGGTATTGAATAATAGATATTAAATTTAGAATAAACCAATTTATTAAATTTATATACATATTTTATTTGCATATAATAAGTGCATTATATTTTAACAATTTATTATTGAAATTTTTTTATAAAATCGCAACCAATGTATTAAACGCATATTGATTTGCATGTATATTATTATGATTTATTATTGAACGTTTTCTTCTTCTTCTGGCTTTCATAACTCACCAAGAGTTTTCGCCGCCATCACCAAATCACTCCACTTATCACGATCCTGCACAATCTCCCTCCAATCCTGCACTCCAAGATCTTCCAAATCCTTTTCTACAACATCCAACCATCTCTTCCGAGGACRACCCCGTGRCYTTTTTCCTTCTGGTTTCCAATTCAGTACCATTTTGGTTACTGCATCAGAATTCCGCCTCATGACATGTCCTAGCCATGAACGTTTTCTTAATATATATATATTATATGTTATAACATATTATACATTTTTTTTTAATAAGATAACAATTTTTAAATAACTATACTTGTATAAAATATTAATTTTGGCGCGAATGCTATGTCATTTTTGCACCTCTGGGCGCTTATGTCCTACAAATGTTGGCGCAAACGATATAGGTATGTTTTGTACCTATAGCTTTGGCGCTTATTATGTCGTATAGCCATTATGCCCATCACATAATATATATATATATATATATGTATAACGTGTCCTGTTAACACTAACAGTTTTCGAAAAATGACGATATAGTGTGTGTCTTGCGTTAACAAAAGAATCACTCTGTATACGGCCTGCACATCGCATAATATATAATATACCGATATGGCCATATACATTATACGYATAGGGACACGTATAATATTATTATGATTTACGAATAATAATATTTCTGTTATATAGAAAACAGTTGTTCGCGAAAACACACACACACACACATAGACAGATTACTATTCGAGTGTGCATAAATATATATACACACATGAATTACATATTATATGTAACGTGCACGTACGTCGTCGTATGTAACATGTATATATACTCATAATATTATAAAATAATACTATTTACATTCAAACGGTGCACAAGCGTTTTCCATAAAAAAAATCCAAGTGCAGTGCGCGCGTCATACGACATTACAACGCATATATAATAATATAACATATTAGAATAATATTAGGCCAATGGCCATAGACGCCGAGGCTTATTATTTATTTGAAAAAAAAAAAAACTAAATAAATAAAAAAACATATTTATTATAATAAACGCGCGCCCTCACATCTGTGTACAACGCTTAGCGTATATACTTGAGCGCATGCCAATCGCTGCCCGTACGCCGTCAATCGCGACGTATATACGATTATCGTTATTACAATATAATATTTAATAATATTATCGTAAATAAATGTGTGTGTGTGAGCGCATAAAATGATTTTTACAAGTTATGACTAATATTATTGCAGTATATAAGATCGTCGTCAAACGCATACAATCACACACATGGTCAGCGTTATAGCCCAGCCTCGGGTTATTGTTATTATCATTATTATTATTTTTTTAGTTATCTCTAAAAAAGTTGACTTGATATATATTGTATGTAAACTGTTTGATCAACCGAATTAAGTTACACACTTTCAGAAAAATATTAACTATAAGCTCAGATTAATGTCACATTTTTTAAACTACTCACCCTCGTGTTTGTGTAATATCAACTGCAAAGCTGTCTAGTTGTTGTGTGTATGTAGTCACTGTCACAATGAGCACATTAGAATTTTCGATTTTCAAAGTCGTAGTCTGTCGTCTCATCTGCTTCTCTTGCTCAGAGCAGTTGAGCTCCAACACTAACCAATAATATTGTTTTACGTACTATCCTCGATAGTATACCTATACTGCGGTATTGTATATTAGTATATTTTATCAACGGGTTTTTTTAAACCAATCAATTAGGTACCTATGTGGTATCACGTTTGATACACAATTCGTTTTTTATTTTTATAATTACACTCAGAATTTTAATATTGTACAATCACACTCAGACTAATCATCATGACGACTAAATTGCATATTGCCTAAATATTGCCTCTTATATTATATTACTCACTATAGCATGTCCAAAATAAGTCGTTTCTTAGTTATCAAAATGTTTGTACTAAGGTTAATAGTCTTTAATAATCGTTTTTGAAGATTTTAGTGGTTGGCTACGTTTAAAGATTTGTATACAAACAATAGCGACGGTAATGATACCGGCACAGCTGCAGCGGTAACAAAATATATCAGACATGAAGGTTCGCGACCAACCTACGTTAGGTTTTCTGTTCGTCGCAGTCCGGATTTTGGCCAGATTTCAAAACATTACGAAATATTGTCACCTATATAATATTGCCTCTTATATTATATTACTCACTATAGCATGTCCAAAATAAGTCGTTTCTTAGTTATCAAAATGTTTGTACTAAGGTTAATAGTCTTTAATAATCGTTTTTGAAGATTTTAGTGGTTGGCTACGTTTAAAGATTTGTATACAAACAATAGCATTACCATAAATATGTTATCCTCATAGAACATAATAAGTTTGATTGCGTTATTGAAGAAAAATGGGAGTGAGCGTGTTTGGCAAATCACTCTGTACAAAACCAGAAATATAACCGAATCGCTAACTTACCTATATAGTTATTTGTTATGAAACATAATTAATTTCTCAACTAATTTAGTTGAATATATATATTGGAAAAGTTATAAATTAATTTTATTGTTATAATTACAGCTCTGCAGACTTGAAAAACGCGACCACATGCGGATACCGGACAAGCAAGTCGCTGCAGCTTTGAGGTATATTATTCATTCTAAATAATCGTTTTTGATCTATGGCGTACAAATCAAACCGTTTTGCAGGCGTCCCAAAGTGCAGCGGTTAACTGCAACATTATATTTTTTTGTCATATAGTCCTCACTACCTATATAATATTAAAACAGTATACTTTTGTACCTTATTTTGAAACGTACGTATATTACACCTGCTGCGATGAAGTAATAAACAAAAAACCACAAATATTTGAGAGAAGGAATGTGTTCGGACGACGACGAAAATTCCGACGAAGGGTCGAATGACGACCGTTACAACCAGGGCGTTCGGATTTTATAGTGCCAATACTAAAATTAAGCGCCTTAATATGACCTTAAAAATCYCGAAATAAGCGATTGACCTAACCAACGCTATAATATGCTCTAAAAACATGYGGAAAATAACAAAAATTCAAATGTATTCTGTTTACAATTAAAAAAAAAAAATTCGTACAAATGTACGACAGAATATATATTGGGCTAAAATATTTATATGCGACCGGTAAAAACGATAATGAATCATGATTAGGTACTTACAGTTCGATGGTTCAATTCACCGGACTACTTAAAAACAGATTTTAATGTAAACAAAAATGTGAGTATTTAACTATTTTTCCTATGGTTTCAAATAAAATATAATTAAAATAAATGACTAACTTTTTACTTATACTTTTCATGTCACACATTACATATTATAACTTATAAGATAATATATTCATGAAAATTAAACGTTTTATCATACGAATAATTATCATAGAAATAGCATAAGAATAGCTCACTCTCTGCCACTTAAATCCGCGTGTCCTATATAACAATATAATTRGCAAAAGTGCTATATAAAATCCGAGTCCTGGTTATATTAGCTAATTATAWTATGCGGATGGGTAAAATATTATTATGTGATGGACACCGCGAGAATACTATTTCGAAATAAACTAATAATATTATTGTCAACGCCGCCGCGGACTTGATGTGCAACCTACCCATATTATATGTGCGTCACAACACACGCACACTTACTCATGCCGCAGCACGTCTACAGGGCACTTCACACGCACGCACACTTGTAAAATCCGTTCAGGTCCGAATGCTGCTCAAATACACACACACACATACACACACACACACACACATACACACACACACATATATATACAGTTTACACTATAGGTATAATATACTTGATATACTTATCGGGCGGATCTCTCGCGCTTCGTCTTCATCTTTGGAGGTCTGCGCCGCCGCCCGTCTGCAGATCGACCGGCGCGATAATAAACGTATAGATACCTATGTGTCTGTATAGCTTTACTTTGGCACTGTGTCAATGCGACTTCAGCGTTTATACGGTGTGTGTGTGTTATATATATACGTTTAGGAGGTATAACCTACGAGTTACGCGCGCTTATTGTACCTACATTTTTTTTCCTCGATTTTAGACGTGCCGCCAAAAAAACCAACGCAGCGTGTAAGTCCCGTGGATGATATATTTATAAATAGCCTACTGCCCATCATCGTGGGCCACCGAGCGACGTATCATATATATATAAATATATTATTTTTTAGGAGTTTTTTTTTAAATTTCTTGTCGCCCCACCATGCGGATTACGTTTCGTTTTCCGCGAAATAGTCCTTCCGAAAGGACCCGTGATACCGGGAGTCGAGGAGATTAATTGTTATTTAAGAGGGGCGGGGCCTGGGTACATCATATAATGTCCAGGGGCCTATTACATACGTATATAGGTTTATAATATATACTATATTTAATAGTCATATAGGTATAGACATCAACTACGGGTTAAGCGCGCTGATTGTGATATTTTTTTCTCGTTTTTTTTTTTTTTTTTTTTTTTTTTTGTTATTTACCGCCAAAAAACACCGCAGCGCATAACTCATCTTATCGTGGAGGAGATATTTATACCCATAACAGTCTGCTGCAGAGTCTCGTATCGTCGTGAAGCGACGCAAAAATGTATTATTTTTAGGAGTTCTTTCCAAATTGTGCAATCTAATGACACGGGCACTGTTGATACAGCCGAACAATTATTTGAGATAACAATAAATACACACGAGACCCCCCTCTTGTGGAAGCTATGAGGGGCCATCTTTCTCTCTTATATTATATAAAAGTAAAATACTACCACWACCCATTGGTTACGGGTTAGGTTATAGGTTTGCCAGCATTTATAAAGCCTATCCAGGCTATCCATTTTTATGTTCCGAACATTATATGCAGAACACTCAGCTTTTCACAAAATATTATAATACATATCATTTTGGCACGTCTACAGGCAGAGACCAAAGATATTCAAAATTCTTCGCGCCGGCGAAGATGTATGGCAAAACGTAGCATTGTACTCGTCGACCACAGTACGCAGGGCATGAAAAATGTTAAAAATCCAAACCCAAGAGACAATATCTTAAGCAGAGACCACGAACTTAAAATTATTTGAGGATTTTATAGATTATATATAGGTACCTAGCTAATATACTTACTTACCATTCATTTTGTACACCACTTGAACACAGTTTGCRCTCGACCTGCAGCYAAACGCTTTGCATTGTTGTAGATAATGTGATGATCATGT